TGTGTGTGTGTGTGTGTGTGTGTGTGTGTGTGTGTGTGTGTGTGTGTGTTTGTCCTATTACTTCCTGTCAGATCAGAGACTTCCTGCTTCATCAGCTCGGACCACAGCGTTCCCATCATGCACTGGGGCAGATAAAGACTGTGATTGGGACGGTGCTGCAGGCAGCATCCACCTCTGGTAAACAGGAAACAGCTGGCAGGTGACCTCTGACCTCTGACCTGTTCCTGGTTACCTTTTTACCTGAGTGGGTCACATGATGTCTGTTGTGTTTTAGGTGTGTGTTGTGTTTCCAGCTGCTCACCTTCACCTTAATGTTCAGAGCTTCCATCACACCTGCTGTCATCCAGGTGAGACTTCTCCAATCACTCTTATCAGTCTTTTATTCTGAAGGAACTGATGCTTCCTGTCCTACAGGTGACCAACAGATCAGTCTTTTATTCTGAAGGAACAGACACTTCCTGTCCTACAGGTGACTAATCAGTCTTTTATTCTGAAGGAACAGACACTTCCTGTCCTACAGGTGTGTGCTCTGATTATGTGACATCATCGGTCTCAGATCCAGTATGTGAATGGAGGATCTGGTCTTCAGGTGGACACAGAGTCTTACCTGGTCTCCAGTCAGACAAGTCTCAGGTGTGCTGCTGCTGAAGGACCAGCAGAGGGCGCTGTCTCACTGATGGTTGTCCTCCTGTCTTCAGGTGGACACAGAGCTGACCCTCAACTCTCTGAAGGACACGTTTGACAGACAGATCACCAAAGACCTGATCCTGGAGGACACACTGCACTTCCTGCTGAGACCACTGACCCACCTGTCCTCTGAGACCCACCTGTCCTCTGAGACACACCTGTCCTCTGAGACACACCTGTCCTCTGAGACCCACCTGCTCTTAGAAAAACTGAGGGAACAGGTGAGTCCAGAAGACACTACATGAAATGAGCTTTTAATGTGAAATGTATGTAAGACCCATGTGATTCAGGAAGTTACTGACTTGTAGTGGGCGGGGCCTGATCATAGCTGACCAATCAGAGCACTCTGAGCTCCACTGGGCTGTTAAAATCATAGACATCCAAAGACGCCATATTGGAGGGGGCAGAGAGGAGAGAGCAACATGCTTCGTAGCTGTACGGTTTGTAAATATTCAAACACTTCAGACGTCCAAACAAAATAACATGTAGGGCTTTAAACACTTCCTACAGAATGTATTTAAACCATAGTCTGCACGATTTTCAGCTTTTTAACATTGTTGTGGGAGAGTAAACTTGTCAACAAAAAYACTGGTTTATGGTTTCCTGCTCACAATTCATTACTATAACATTTACTTTAGACTGCACACAGTGTTAGATGAAAACATAAATAATATATACACGTACATATATAAATGCACATACACACACTGAATATGTA